TCATTACTTTATAGATTCTTCATTACTTTATGGTGTTTCTAAACATTTGGCGATGAAATCCATCTTGGTGCTGCTATGGAAATTATCCATCTGTCTTTCCTTTATCCGTCATTGGCCTTAGGAGCAACTAAGACAATTTCTTTGTTTTCTTCAGGCAATAGCTCTGAAGGTGAAAAGTTGGAAATAAGTCTTCTAGGATTTAAAGTCCAAGCATATCAATGCTCTTACTTTCTGGAGGATCATGAGAAGATTGTTCTTTGCCTTTTTCAGCTCCTTGAGGTTGCTGCATTCCTTGGTTCTTGCCCCTTCCTCGCTCCAGTGTCTGTTTTTTTAAAAAGATTCTTAAGTAATCTTATAACTGGTTTTGAACTCAATATCCAGTAGTTTGCTTTCTTCCATTTCTTTCATTTGTGACATGTTTCTTTGTCTTTGCATTTTGACTGCTTCCCTGTGTTTGTTTCATGTATTGGGTAGACCTGTATGTCTCCTTGAGTTGGTAGAGTGGTCTTGTGTAGTAGGTGTCCAGTAGGGCCGGCCCAGTGGCTCAGCCTCCCCAGTCACCTGAGCGGGGCACTCTAGGTGCACCCCTTGGTGGGCTATGAGCACAGTCCTGTATTTGAGCCTTGATTGCTGTTGGTGTCACTGGGAGGAATTGACCTTCAGACCAATTGGCTATGAGGTCCAGCCATGATTACAGTAGGAGAGCTGCTGTGAAGGAGACATGCTATGGAACAGGCCTTGCTTCAGTGGGGCTTTGATGCCCACTGAGTCTGCCCCTTGAGTGTGTCACTTATGGGTGTGTAGAGTTGTAATCTGGTTTGGTCTCATACTGACCACTGGGTACACAGGGAGGTGCATAGTCAGCCACTGCCTGTGCCACCCAGCAGGAGCTACAGAGAGATCTGCAGATTCCTCCTCCTTGTGTCAGGTTTGTAGTGCCCAGATGAGGTCCAGCTATGAAGCAAGGCAGGCTGGTGCTGTGTCTTGGGCCCCCTATTGACAGATGTGGGGCTCCCTGACGCAGCTGCAGCTAATTTGAGAGATTTTAGCCTGAGCAAGGACGTGCCATTCATATGCAAAAGCTGTTGTACACAGCTTTTCACACCTCTGTCCTGTAAATTGGCTGTAAATTGGATGAGTTGAGGTCTTAGGGAATCACCAGGCAGAGTAAGCAGAAATGGCTGCTAGTCAGTCCTGCCACTGGGGAGATCCCAGCGTAGGAACAATGAACCCTGCAAGCAGCTCTGTCTGAGAGCACCTCTGTCTGGGAGAAAGCTGCCCCGAGTTCCTGCCCTGGTGCCAGACAATCCAGTTCCTCCCCGTATGTGTCTGTGTTCCCCAGAGAGCTTTGCTCTGGTGCTGGAGCTCAGAGGAAGCAGGACCTTGTAAGTTCAGTTCCTGGTGCCAGCCTTTTGGAGGAGCAGCTGGGTCTCCAGCAGCCTCTGTGTCCCTGAGTCCCAATCCACACCGGTTTCTATAGCCTGTAGCTGTTACTGCTCGTATAGACTTCTTTTCCCACTCTGGCACCTTGGGCTGGAGCTTTGGTGTGGGGCTGGGACCCCTTGCTCCTCGGCTGGCTTCTACAGAGATGATCCACTTCCCGATGAAAAAAGTGGCACATGTGGATGCCGGACCATCCCATCCTCGCCTCTGCACCACCTAGAAAGCAGTCTCCGTGTGCTTTCTTCTTTACTTGTCTAGTTGTAGGACTTGTATGCTGCCAGCGTTCCCGTGATTCTGGATGGTGGTGGTTCTGTATTTTAGTTGTAATTTTGATGTGGTTGTGGGAGGAGGCGAGAATAGGCGTTAACCTATGCCACCATCTTCCTTTCTCTGCATATAAATTCTTTGGTTAATCTCTTCCCACCCACCCTTGCCTTCCCTCTAAGATTCGACAGTCTGTTCCATACCTCTGTGTCCCTGGAACTATTTTGTTTATCAGTTTATTTTGTAAAATAGGGTCCACATATGAGAGAGATCATGTGATACTTATCTTTTTCTGACTTGCTTATTTTGCTTAGCATAATACTCTCCAGGTCTCTCCATGCTGTCTCAAAGGGTAAGAAATCATTCTCTTTTACTGCTGCCCAGTGTTCTATGGTGTAAATGTACCACGGCTTTTTTTATCCACTCATCTGCTGATGGGCACTTGGATTCTTTCCAGATCTTAGCTATTGTAATTTGCACTGTGTGAACATAGGGGTGCAAATATTCTTTCTGATTGGTGTTTTGGATTTCTTAGGATATAATCCCAGAAGTGGGATCTTAGTTGATAGTTTTTAATATGTCCCAGGGTATGTAAAAAACCTTGAATAATTTATAGACCTGTTTAGTAAATTTGTTTTATTGTCTATTGAGTGGTTAATTTAGGAAATGTAATTGTCTCAAAGTTAACTTGAAATATAACTTTGGAAATGTATAGCCATTAATATGGTCTTTCAGATATATGTGGAGAGATGTTAATTGTAATTTTTATGAGAGGTGTGTGACAAGAAAATATGTTAGGGAATCCCATTGTGTTTGCACATGTATACAAAGTATCTGTGTGTAGGATTTAAACCAAGGTATTAATTTTGGTTCTTTCTTAGAGGATGGGATATTCTCTCATATTCTTTTTCCTTGTTGTTGTATTATTGTGAAAAAGAGCAAATATGGGAATTTTCAGATTTTTGAGGTGCTAAATTTTAGTATATATATTTACCATAATTTAAAGAAATCCTGATATCTATAAAATTATACTACATAATACATTTTTTTAAAAAGAATTCAATTTTTTTACTGAGGGAAAATAAGGCAAGGAAATAATACCTTGTAAAATTCTCTTACGTTGCAAGTTCATATTTTTCATGCAATTTTTTCTCATTTTCTCTGTAGTTGTTTGGTTTCCTTCTAGCATGTAAAACTCCATAAAATCGGGACAATTAAAATTTGAGTACACATTTTTATGTACTTGGTGTGTGGTGGGTGTTTTTGGTGTCATGGGGTGGGGGTGGTCTTTCTAATGTGAATTTAGGTGGGATTTTTCAGGACATTCATGGCAGGGCTTTCTCATGTTTGATGACATGGTTTATTTTACAGATCTCCTGTGACTTACTGTGTTATCTGTAATTCTTTTTTCATTATTCCAATTATTTTTAAATTTTGAGACTCACCCAGGTGGCATGCTGTGGGTTGTGTGCAAAGTGTTAGCACTTTGACACTCAGTGTACTTGAGCCAGATAAACACTCTGTATAGAATCACACTTGTTGGAGCTGGGAAGGCCTTTAGTGCTGAAGTGGTTCGGCCCCTTTTCTCATGAGCACGTTGCTTAGTGGCGTTGGACTGAGTGCCCCGAAGTTTTCCTGACTGTTCTAGGGTAGCTCTAAAGCAAGGCCACACTCCTCACTGCCCTGTCCTAACCTTCTCTGCTGTCCCCAGTCTCACTCCTAGATGTTTGTGCTGTAATATGTGATTCCAAAGTGTGTCCTCTTACAGAAATGCAGTGTACACAGAGCTAATTTAAAGGAGCCACAGAGTTTTTAGTTTGTAATGAAGTTGATATTATACAGGAGGGCTTCTTAGCTTTAAAATATATTTTTAGATATAAGTTATATTTTAGAAATTAGTTAACATTAAATACCATTCTTATGTGTTATTTCAAGAATGGTTACTTAGCCTGGCTGTGTGGCTCAGTGATAGAGCATCGACCTATGAACCAAGAGGTTAGGGTTCAATTCCAGATCAGGGCACATGTCTGGGTTGCCGGCTGGATCCCCTCTAGGGGGCATGCCAAAGGCAGCCGATCAATGATTCTCTCATCATTGATGTTTCTAGCCTATCCCTCTTCCTTCCTCTCAGAAATTGATTAAAAACTACATTTTTTAAATTGTGACTTAAGCCGAAACCGGTTTGGCTCAGTGGATAGAGCGTCGGCCTGAGGACTGAAAGGTCCCAGGTTCGATTCCGGCCAAGGGCATGTACCTTAGTTGTGGGCACATCCCCAGTAGGGGGTGTGCAGGAGATAGCTGATGGATGTCTCTCTCTCATCAATGTTTCTAACTCTATTCTTCTCTCTCTTCCTATCTGTAAAAAATCAATAAAATATATTTTAAAAAAATAAAAATAAATGGTGACTTAAAATAAGTCACTAAATATTTAAAGTTTTTAAAATGTATATTAGTAGTAATAATCTGTAATATATATATATATATATATATATATATATATATATATATATATTAGCCTAAAATGCAAATTGTCCCCTTTGGAGTTTGACTGGGAGCTTGATTGCTCACTATGACATGCACTGACCTCCAGGGGGCAGCATAGAACAAAGGAAGGCCCCAGTCAGCAGCCAGAGCCGCCCCAGTAAGTAGCTGGGAGACCCCAATCAGCCCTGATCACTGGCCAGGCCTAAGGATCCTACCCATACACTAATTTTGTGTAACAGGCCTCTAGTCTATGTATATATAAAAGTCTAAGCAACTGTTAATGACCAGTTGACCAGTTGCTATAACATGCACTGACTACCAGGGGACAGTGCAGGAGCTGCCACCTGGTGGTCAATGCACTCCCACAGCCAATCTCTTGCAGCTGACCAACCTCCCATGGTCCCTCCCCCTCATCAGCTGGCCAACCTCCTGCAGTCCTTCTCCCTGGCCGGCCCTAATTGGCCCTGATCAGGACTGGGCGAGACAGCCCCAACTGCCGATCTCAGGCCAGGCTGAGGGACCCCACCTGTGCGTGAATTCATGCACTAGGCCTCTAGTATAGTGCATTCTCTTCTAGTATATTGACATCCTGCAACATCTCAGAGGAAGCAAACTCAGCCGTCTTCTGGTGGGATCTCTGGACACAGCTCAGGGTCTTCGCTCGGGAGCAGAGGGCAGGGTGCCTTGCAGCCTGGTGTGGGGCACATGCATTTGAGGGGTTAATATAGACAGTATCCTCAGCTCACAGCTTTTTGGAAGAAATATATTGAGCAAGTATTTACTGACTTATTTCTCCCATTCCTTTTTAGGCTTCTCTACAGCTTGGCCTTTAACGCCAGGTTTCTGAGGCACCTTTGGGTTCTCATATCCTCAATGACAACACAGATGATCACAGGGTATGTATCCCAAACTTAGAAATTGAGCTTAAGGGTGTGGGAAGTGGCAAATAATAAATACTGTATAGTATTTTAGGTGCTGCTTATATCTAGCTTATTTCGTATTAGGAGGTAACTTCTAGATGGTCTCAATTTCACCAAAAGAAGTAATGCCAATTTTATAGTTGTTCATCTGCTTTATCTGAGGGTAAATTTCTCTTAAAAATCTTAGTCATTTTTGGAAGTCAGAGACTTGACATTTCTTTGTTCCATATGACTTGCCTGTGCTTTTGAGATTGAAAATACAGATTTGAAGCAAATTTTTAAAACATTTTTATTGATTTCAGAGAGGAAGGGAAGGGGAGAGAGAGATAGAAATGTCAGTGATGAGAGAGAACCATCAATTGGCTACCTCCTGCCTGCTCCCCACTAAGGATTGAGTGTATATCCCTGGGCATGTGCCCTAACCGGGAATTAAACTGTGACCTCCTGATTCATAGTTAGATGCTTAACCACTGGGCTACACTGGCCAAGCTGAAGCAAATTTAGTACCATTACAAAATACTAAAAGATACCAAATATGGTAGATGTTAGTTTTTAAAACTTTATGTTGAAATAATTTATTTTTTTCTTACCTGAATCATTATGTCATATTGAAACTGAATGAGTAACAGGTAGAGAATTGAATATTTATGCAAACTGCCTTAGGCTGTTCCCATAAGGAATGTCCCCTCTGTCAGAGGTCTAAGTTGGCCCCTCCACACTGTCACACAGAAAGGTGCCATGTATGACTCAGTTTACTGGGGACAGAACTCGGGATACACCTGCACGTGAGGCTCACGCTAGCCCACAAGGAAAGGAAGGCCTCGGTTTAGGCAAGGCTACAAAAAGGAGTGTTTCTTTAGTTGTGTTTTCTTTTGTTGTTGGGCTTTGGAGGAGAGGGAGAAGAAACTGAAGGAAAGAATGTTTGGGGATGAGGGTGGAATGTCTGGCATTTGAGCATCCCGTCCTCTGCAGTGTGGTTGGGTGCGATGTATTAGATGGGTGATGTGTCTTGTGTTGAGGGTTCTGACCTCAAGCTTTTCTGTGTGGTTTGCAGAAAAAGGAGGGTCCTGTTTTAGTGCCTCGGTGTCAGGGACAGTCAGCCCTGAGCGAGAGGAGCCATGTGTCCAATCATCTGTACAAACTGGCCACCTCTCAGCTAGTGTGGCTTTGTGGACATAGATGTTCACGGCGCCTACAGCCTCCATTGCCCAGGATTGACTGGACATGCTGTAGGGGACCATGGGACCTCATTCAACCATGAGAGAAAGGGAACAGATTGGAGGGAGTGAAGTATGTGTAATACATTACAGCCCTTAACAGGGCAGATTCCAAACCGCTCTCAGGACCCCTCGCCTTAGACTGCTCTGTGTGGTCAGTGACTGCTGGTAAGAGCAGGAACCGTAACAGCTGGGAGATGAACTTGAACTTGGATGACAGAAACAGGGCCCAGAGGAGAGAAGGGGAGACCTTCCTACAGCTTCTGACAGGGTTCAGGATTCACCTCTGTTCCTGAATGTCAAGTAGCTCCATAGTTTTTCATGGTCTGCTTTGTTGAATATGTTAAATAGAGGGGGGAGGAGGCACTTCAACATAACAGTAAACGTGGGTCTGTAACGGTGGCCTTGCATACTGCCGCTCTCCTCCGAGGGTCGTCCTTGGGCCTGGCTCACTCTCAGTGACTCAGGCCATGAGTTCAGAGTGGCCGGTCAGTTCCTGGGTTTTAGTCTGTTATTCGCCTACATTGTTAGAATGACTTCACCTTCCCTTGAGGTAGATGCGTGGCCCCCGTGAATGAGAATTCCCTGATTGTGTTGTCTGGTGTCGTGTCTTCTCTCTCCCCACTCAGGTCGATGGTGCCGCTGCTCCAGGTGATATCAAGGGGCTCTCCCATGTCCTTTGAAGATTCCAGCCGCATCATCCCACTCTTCTACCTGTTCAGCTCCTTGTTTAGTCACTCTCTGATCTCCATACATGATAATGAGTTCTTCGGGGACCCCATAGAAGGTGAGACTCCAATTGTTGCTGGCCCCCTGGCTCCTCCTCTCCATGCCCATGGAGGACGGGGACGTCTTCATCTTCTAAGGCTGTCGGTGTGTAGAGAACTTTTCTAAAGTTGTGATGGGAGCTGGCGTGTTTTCCAGCCGCAGGTCAGAGACAATCGTCCCTGATGCCTTTCACTCTGGAAGAGTTGGTGGTGCTGTCCCGCTGCCTTCGCGACGCCTGCCTCGGGATCATCAAGCTAGCTTACCCGGAGACCAAGCCCGAGGTCCGGGAAGAGTACATCACCGCGTTCCAGAGCATCGGGGTGACCACGAGCGCCGAGATGCAGCAGTGCATCCAGACGGAGCAGAAGCGGTGGATCCAGCTGTTCAAGGTCAGAGGCAGCACAGGTGTGCTCTCCTTCCCGCGCGTCAGTAGACGGGATGCGCAGTCCCAAGCTTGTAAATTAAGTCATTTTGTTTGCCTTTTTGTTTTGTTTTGTTTTGTGTGTGTGTGTGTGTTTGGGAGGGTGTTTGTTTTGCTATTTTAGATTTTGTATATTTAGTTCTTATTTTATTTTTTGCTAATCCTCACCCAAGGATATTTTTTCCATTGATTTTTAAAGAGAGTGGAAGGGAAGGGGAGAGAGAGAAACATTGATATGAGACACATTGATTGGTAGGCTCCCGCACTCATCTTGACCCAGGCCAGGATTGCGCCTGCAGCTAAGTGTGTGCTCTTGACTGGAATTGAACCGCAACTCTTTAATCTGGAGGCCGACATGCAAAACTGGCAGTGCTTTTTTTTTTTTTTTTTTTTTTTTTTTTTTTAGTTAAATTTGTTGGGGTGATATTGGTTAATAGGATAATATAGGTTTCATTTTGTTTGTTTGTTCATCCTCACCTGAGGATATTTTTCCATTGATTTTTAAAGACTTGTCTGTTTTTTATTAAATTTATTGGGTTGGCATTGGTCAATATGAACGTAAGTTTCTGGTGGTTTTAAAAAAATTAAAAAATTAATTTTTTAAAATTTATTGATTAAGGTATCACATATTTGTCCTCAACCCCCCAATTGGGGTTTTCTTTTAAAAAAATATATATATTTTTTGCCGAGACGGGTTTGGCTCAGTGGATAGAGCGTCGGCTTGGGGACTGAAGGGTCCCGGGTTCGATTACGGTCAAGGGCATGTACCTTGGTTGCGGGCATATCCCCAGTAAAGGATGTGCAAGAAGCAGCTGATCGATGACTCTCTCTCATCGATGTTTCTAACGCTCTATCTCTCTCCTTTCCTCACTGTACAAAATCAATAAAATATATTTTAAAAAAAATAAAATGTTTAAAAATATATATATATTTTTATTGATTTTAGAGAGGAAGGGAGAGGGAGAGAGAGAAAGACATCAATGATCAGGATCATTGATCTCTTGCTTTTTTTTTTTTTTTTTTTTTTTTTTTACAGTATGTGGTTCTATCCACTGAGCCAAACCAGTTAGGGCTATTTTATCAATTTTTTGTGCAGTCTTTTTGTTCTCTATTTTGTTCAGTTCTGCTCTAATTTTTATTATTTCCTTTCTTCTGCTGACTTTGGGTTGCTTTTATTCTCCTTTTTCTAGTTTTTTAAGATGTGATGTTAGGTTATTTACTTGGGATTTCTCTTGTTTCTTGACATAGGCCTGTAATGACCTTTTTATTACTGTTTTCACTGCATCCCAGAAGTTCTGATAAGTCATATTGTCATTCTCATTTATATGTCTTTTGAGCTTATCTTTTATTTATTCTTTAACCCAGTCATTTTTTAGTAGTATGTTACTTAATCTCCACGCATGTGTGGGTTTCTTTACTTCCTTTTGGCAGTTGATTTCTACTTTCAAGGCATTGTAGTCAGAGGATATGCTTGGTATAATTTCAGTCTTTTGTTGATGCTAGTTTTGTGACCCAACATATGTTCTATCCTTAAGAATGTTCCATGTGCACTGGTGAAGGATGTATGATCTGATGTTCTGGAATGAAAGGTTCTGAAAATGACAATTATGTCTAGTGTTTCATTTAAGGCCGATATTTCTTTATTGACTTTCTGTTTGGTTGATCTGTCTAGAGCTGTCAATGGAGTATTAAAGTCTCCAACTATGATTGTGTTTTGATCTGTTTCCCCCGTTAGCTTTGTGAGTAGTTGTTTTATATATGTTGGTGCTCCCTGATTGGCTGCATATATATTAAGAAATGTTATGTTTCCTTGATGTAGTTCCCTTTATCATTATAAAGTATCCATCTTTGTCTCTTATCTTTGTTATCTTGAAATCCATTTTGTCAGATATAAGTATGGCTGTATGTGCTTTTCTGTGGGTGTTATTTGCTTGGAGAATCATTTTCCACCCTTTTACTTTGAATCTGCCTTTTTCTTTACAGCTTAGATGTGTCTCTTGTAGGCAGCATATGGTTGGGTTTTGTTTTTTATCTACTCTGCTATTCGGATCCTTTTTTTTTTTTTTTTTTTTTTTTTGCCACTATTGGTTCTAAGCAGAGAAGTGAATGCTCTATTTATGACCTTAAAACAGTTCTAAAAAAAAAAAAAAAAAAAAAAAAAAGGTGGAGGTGGCGGGGAGCAAGTCTAGAAACATACCAATTGGGAGGCTCTTTCCATAGTCTAAAGAAGAGAATGACTAGGGTGGGGCAGTGAAGGGGTGATAAGTGGACAGATACAGAGTCTGCTGAGACGATAAGGCAAGAAGACTTGCTGAGAGGCTGGAAGTGGAGAGGTGCTAGAAAAGGGGAATCTCTAAGATAACCTTTAGGTTTGGGTCTTAAGCAGCTGGGGGTCTAGCAGTAACATACACTGAGGAGGAGACAGGAGGGAACAGGTTGGTGTGGAAAGATAAAAGGTCTTCGTTTAGACTTGTCCAACTTGAGGTGTCTATGCTGCACCCACTTGGAGAAGTCTGGTTACTGTTGGGTGGCTGTGTCTGCAAGTCCAGGGTGAGAGGGAGATCTGGGCTGGAGATAAGAATTGGGAGTCCTGAACATGTTGTGTTAAAGCCATGGAAAGGGGTGAGGTCACTCTGGGGGAGGGTGTATATGGCAAAAACGGAGAGTCCGGGATGGAGGCCAAGGACATGACAACATTTGCCAATGGGGGGACGGAGAGGAGGCAGCCTTCCACAGAAGACTGATTGTGAGCTGCCAGGCGAAGGGAGAAGAAAATGATGGCGTGTTGTTTGGGGAGAAGTAGGCATAGAAGCCAAGAGAAGAGAGAGATTTAGAAAGATCCTAGGATTGGTCATGTCAGGCAGCCCTAGGCCAGACCCTTCCCCAATACACGCTCTGCTCCTCAGTGTCTGCTTTGCACTGTACTGGTCTCTGTTCTGTGCCAGTCTGCTCCCTTCCAGTGAGACACTTCAGTCTTCAGTCTTTGATGGAAAAGAGACGTCCACTCCCTCTGCGTCTCTTAATTGGTGAATTCAGACCACTTACATATAGGGTAATTGGTGTTTGAGGATTTCCTATAACCATTTTGTCTTTGTTCTCTGGTAGGTCTGTGCCTCCATTGGTTCTTTTCCTTTGTTTCTGTCTGTCGTTTTTGTTTGGTGGTATTCCACACTTCTTCCCTCCTTTTTTTAAGCTATATGCCCTGGTTTGGGGATTTTTGTGTGTGTTATCATTAGGTTTATGAAAAATAAAGTTGCATACATACCCTAGTTGTTTTCTTTATTTCTTCCTTCCTTTATTTCTTTCTTTCTTTTTTTTTTTTTTTTTTTTAATATATTTTATTGATTTTGTACAGAGAGAAAGGGAGAGAGATACAGAGTTAGAAACATCGATGAGAGAGAGTCATCGATCAGCTGCCTCTTGCACACCCCCTACTGGAGATGTGCCCGCAACCAAGGTACATGCCCTTGACCGGAATCGAACCCGGGACTCTTCAGTCCCCAAGCTGACGCTCTATCCATTGAGCCAAACCGGTCCCGGCCTTTCTTTCTTTTTTTTTTTCTTTCTTTCTTTCTTTCTTTCTTTCTTTCTTTCTTTCTTTCTTTCTTTCTTTCTTTCTTTCTTTCTTTCTTTCTATAATATATTTTATTGATTTTCTACAGCGAGGAAGAGAGAGGGATAGAGAGTTAGAAACATCAATGAGAGAGAATCATCAATCAGCTGCCTCTTGCACACCCCCTTCTGGAGAATGCCCGCAAGCAGGGTACATGCCCTTGACCGGAATCGAACCTAGTTGTTTTCTTTTGAGTGCATCTGGTCTTCATTCTTCTTTGCCAGTTCAGACCTCCCCCCTCCCCCTTATGCTTTTGTTGTCACAGATTATCCCTATTGGTGCTGTAAGTTTTTTGGTGATCTTACCCAAAGTGTTGTGACCTTATGTTCTCTGTTTCAGGTAAAATAGCTCCCTTGAGTATTTCCTGAAACGGAAGCTTTAAGCTGTTTCTCCTGGCCAAAGAAAGCGCCTGCTGCCATGCTTTCTCCTCTCCCCGCGGAGCTGCGGGCTCCTGGTTGCAGGGTTGCATCTGGGCCGGCTGCGTTTCCTCCCTTCTCGTCTCCCCATTTATTCCTGGTGGCCCACCTTTAGATGTTTCAGTGCCAGGCGCTCTCAGGTGTGCGTCTGTGTTGAGCAGGGATTTCCTAGCTGAATTAGAGTTGGTTAAGCTGATGAAATTTAAAGAGCAAAGGACAAGGTGTGCTGTCACAGTGCCATTCCTCTGACGCCACTCCTCCATTGATTCTTAGCGCAAGAAGAGAGGGAGAGAGAAATATTGACGTGAGAGAGACACATTGATTGGTTGCCTTGGCAAGGGACCTGACTGGGGCCAGGGATTGAACCTGCAATCCAGGTATGTGCCCTTGACTAGGAATTGAACCCTCAACCCTTCAGTGCACGGGCCAGCACTATCCATTGGGAACACCAGGCAGGGCTCAGTGTGCATTTGTGAGACATGACCTGCACAGTGTGACACATGACCTGCACATTGCACTGTGCAGGTCATGTGTCACAAATGCACACTGAGAGCACCCACTCAGAGCATCTTCCATCGCCAAGTATTTGGCTTTCTCTGCCCTTTCCACCCCCGCCCTTGACATTTGCCTTCTTTTAAAACCTCGTTTTTACATTGTTAAATGCATCTGTTAAAAATTGCACTGGTGTTAAGGTAAAATACAAATAAAATTTGTAATGTTTTTATTTTTCACTAAAAGATCTCTTACAAATTTTTATTTTCTTAATCTTTTAAGAAATAACCTTAGTGGAATAAGGTCATCAATTTAATGGAAGTTGAATATAAATTATTTTAAACCATCTCTATCTATAATCACAGAGAAAGAGCAGTCAGACGACTGCCTGGCAGGAATGTTGGCAGGAAACTGCCGCCACTGAGAGAGACTGGGACTGTTGGGGTA